CAGCAGGTTCTAGAAGTCAGGTCCCAGAGGTTCAGTCTGTCGGCCCTGATCCTGGAGGTGCAGCCACGCTCTTTCAAGCTCAGTCTCTAGGGGCAGCTTTGGCAGACTTGGAAGCAGGTCAGTCCACTCTCAATGATGTAGGTCACAGGTGTAAAACTGGTGGCCCTCCAGTTGTTGCCAAACTACAAAACATGAGGCATTGCAATATTGACAGTTACAAGCATGACTCCCAAAGGTAGAGGCATGATGGGACTTGTGGTTTCGCAACAGCTGGAGGGCTGCCAGTTTGACACCCCTGATGTAGGTGGACAGGCACAGCAACAGGATCACTCCGCTCCTTGACTCTATTCTCTCGGATTTAGAGCACAGACCCTGAGAATAGGTCTGTAACCTCCACTCTCCTTTCTGGACTGCCTCGATCTCTGTCTCAGTTTGCCCAGGAAAATTATTAAACTCCCCCCACCCCTATGAGTGCAGTGTGGGAATTAAAGTGCACAGCCTGTTAGGCTCCATTGAAAAGCATGATGTAGCTCTCCTTTAACTGCTTGCCAACCCCCCCATAGTACATATACTGAGGTGGGGCAGCAGCTACAAGCACCGTAATGTACTGGTGTCGCTGCCTGTTTCCAGGTTGGGGGCATGTGCCCACCTCAGGGGTGGACTGACCATTCAAGCACTCGGGCACTGCCCGAGGGCCTGGGGTCAGTAGGGGGCCCCATGAAAGGCCCCTGGTACCTTTTTATAGGCTTTTTTGGGTGTGCTTTGAGTGTGGGAAAGGAACCAGGGGCCCCATGATCCCCTATTGCCCAGGGGATCCCCATGAGGGGCCCCATGAGTTGTCAGTCCACCCCTGGTCCAACTTCTCCCATGTGATTTCACACAACGGAGTTCTCCAACAGATCGCAGCCAATGATTCCTGACCAGGAGCTGCTGATCAGCCGTGTCCAATTAGAGCCTAGAGGGCTCTATACAGAGGGAATGATAGCTTTGTTTCTTTTCCCTGCTAAGCAGCAAAAAGAAACAATTCAATGTTTACTGAAAAGCAGAACACAGATTGACACTTGTCAGGCACACAGATATCCCCTGATCGCCCTTAGATGTTAACCCCTTCCCAGCCAGTGTCATTAGTACAATAAAAGTGTATATTATTACTACTGTTCACTGTATTAATGTCACTGGAGATGTCAGTGGCAGTTGGTCAGTTCCTTCCAGTGTCAATTAGTGTCAGATTGCCCAGCGCACTATCACAGTTCCACTACAAGTCAATGATCACCGTCATTATTAATAGAGAAAAAAAGACATGACATGACAATGACATGACAATGACATGACTTTCATGCAAACCAAGCAACATAAACGTATTGGGATTTGTTCACCAACAATAAGTAGCAGATTGAATTGTGGCTTAAATGTATGAAGAAATTTGATTTTTTTAAATTTTATTTATTGGATATGGAGGGGGGGACCCAGTATTCTATGGAGGGAGAGGGGGAACCGGTATTCTATGGAGGGAGAGAGGGGGAACCGGTATTCTATGGAGGGAGAGGGGGGAACCGGTATTCTATGGAGGGAGAGAGGGGGACCCGGTATTCTATGGAGGGAGAGGGGGGGGAACCGGTATTCTATGGAGGGAGAGAGGGGACCCGGTATTCTATGGAGGGAGAGGGGGAACCGGTATTCTATGGAGGGAGAGAGGGGACCCGGTATTCTAAGGAGGGAGAGGAGGGGGAACCAGTATAATATGGAGGGAGAGGGGGAACCGGTATTCTATGGAGGGAGAGAGGGGAACCGGTATTCTATGGAGGGAGAGGGGGGAACCGGTATTCTATGGAGGGAGAGGGGGAACCGGTATTCTATGGAGGGAGAGAGGGGACCCGGTATTCTAAGGAGGGAGAGGAGGGGGAACCAGTATAATATGGAGGGAGAGGGGGAACCTGTATTCTATGGAGAGGAGGGGGAACAGGTATTCTATGGAGGGAGAGGAGGGGGAACCAGTATAATATGGAGGGAGAGGGGGAACCTGTATTCTATGGAGAGGAGGGGGAACAGGTATTCTATGGAGGGAGAGAGGGGGGAACCTGTTTTGGTTTTTTTATTATTATGGACGGAGTAAGGGAAAGTTATAAAAATATATATATATTATAACGTGTGAGATGCAATAGTCAATGTTTTGACAATATTGTAATAGTTCATCCAAAATGAAAAGTTTGCCATTAGCTCTACTAAAACGAACACAAAAAACTTTAGGTTACAGCACACTTTAGTCAGCACCGAAACTTTCTGCTGTGCCCATGAGAGGCTTAATCATAGTGTCCCCGGGTTCCCTCTATCGTGTCCCCGGGTTCCCTCTATCGTGTCCCCGGGTTCCCTCCCTAGTTTCCCCGGGTTCCCTCCATATTGTCCCCATGTTCCCTCAATCGTGTCCCCGGGTTCCCCATGAAGTCTATGGAGGTTCATAGAAGACAGGGGAGGAAGTCCCCCTATGTGAGAAGGAAATAAGGAGTGCTCCTCCCCCACCTCTTCCCCCCTCCCCGGACTGTTTGGCACAGGCGGAACTAATCTTCGACGCCTTGTTTCCGGGAGGAGTGGTGAGGCTGCGGCCTGGTCCCTGCCTGTGACCCACACATGGGGAGACAGGCAGTGAGAGGAGAGGACACCGGTCAGAGTAGAATGTGAAGATTAGAGGTCAGTGTGGAGGGTTGTCTGTGATTCCTGGAGACTCATGATATGTCTCCTATAGTCCATGACTGCATGAGGGGTGTGTTGTATTCCAGCTGGAGGACAAGGGGTGTCAGCAGTGCTCTCCACCCATCACATCCCCTGTATACATCTCATGTTGTCATTCTGTATTACAGATAGGTCTGTATTGCTGACCATTTACAGTTCCCATCAGCCCCTTCTCTCAGGGAGCTTACAATCTATGGCCCCTATCTCACAGACCCATAGTAGGGGCCACTGACCCCACCAGCTTGGCCTTGGAGATCCTGCAAACTCCATGCAGATTTGAAATGAGGCCCCAATGCAAGGCTTTTGTATTCGGATGACCAGGATACACTTACTGGCTCGCCATTTGTTATACTGCACCGGTCTTTCCTTCTCCCTTTCCTCATGCCTTTCTGTTTCCTGCACAGATTTACATTCCTTTCTCGATCATGAAGAGATGAACATTGCCAGGACGGGGCGGCGTCTCCAACGCTCCAAGCTGTCCATAACCAATGCATGCAGAATAAAGTCGTAACCCCTGTCAGGTTTATTGTTGCCTTCTGTGCGGTGACAAATTTCCTCAGTCTTCTCTCCCCAGTGATCAGATTATACATTGTACCAAGTCGCTAGGTGAGTGGCTGCAGCAGAGGCTGATTTGTGTCAGATATTTGTAAACACAGCCAAGAACTTCTGCCCACTTTTAGGTGATCTCTGAAAACCTATCTCTTCAGGGAAGCCTATCCTGCCTTCAGCTAATAACCGAATCTTCTATTTCTTCCATCAGTTCCTCCCCCACAGTTATCTTTTGTACCACCAGCCCCTCCCTCTTAGATTGTAAGCTCCAAGGATCAGGGCCCTCCTAACCCTCTTGTATTGAACTGTATTGTTGCTGTATTGTCTCCCATTATATTGTAAAGCGCTGAGCAAACTATTGGCGCTATATAAATCCTGTATAATAATATATATAATCCTGTATAATAATATATAAATCCTGTAATAATAATAATAATATATAAATCCTGTATAATAATATATAATAAATCCTGTATAATAATTTATTTATTTATTCAGGTACTTATATAGCGCCGTCAATTTACGCAGCACTTTACATATATATTGTACATTCACATCAGTCCCTAACCCTCAAGGGGTGTACAATCTAAGGTCCCTAACTCACATTCATACACACACATACTAGGGACAATTTAGACAGGAGTCAACTAACCTACCAGCATGTCTTTGGAGTGTGGGAGGAAACCCACGCAGGCACAGGGAGAGCATGCAAACTCCAGGCAGGTGGTGCCGTGGTTGGGATTCAAACCAACGACCCGAGTACTGCCAGGGTGAAATGCTAACCATTTACCACTGTGCTGCCCATATGATAAAAGACCTTCACAGGCACCAGGGTTTACTCACAGATGTCAAACTGTGGCCCTCCAGCTGTTGAGAAACTACAAGTCCCATCATACCTGTGTGAGTCATGCTTGTAACTGTCAGCCCCACCTCATGGGATTTGTAGTTCCGCAACAGCTGGAGGGCCGCAGTTTGACACCCCAATTGTGTTATCTCTGAGCCGGCATCTAAGCCCAGGTAATGGAAGGTGACCCAGAACAAAGATGGCTCCATTCTGGAGAGAACAGCAATCAAAGGCATTGCCAAGAGGAGCATTGTGATCTGTGTGCTGTAATATTGGGGTTTATTTACTAATGATGGAGAGTGCAAAATCAGGTGCAGTTCTGCATAGAAACCAATCAGCTTCCAGGTTTTATTGTCAAAGCTTAACTGAAAAAGCTGAAGTTAGAAGCTGATTGGCTGCCATGCACAGCTGCACCAGATTCTGAGTGCACCCAGGTTTATTAAATCCCCCCCTCGGTCTCGGGAGTGTTGCATTCCCCCCAGAAATGCCAGGTCCTTGTCAGCTTAACTGAAAGCACAAATAATGTCACCATCCTTCTATAAACTACTAATCTCCCCATCCCCCATGTAGTGGATGGAGAGGAGGACATGTTTGCAGTCCAGCCTGGGTGACAAGCACGGTTCCCTCCATAGATATAGTGGAGAAAGTGAGTGTAACCTCCCTAGTACTGATCACTAGGTGATGATAAAAAGAAAACCAATGTAGTCACCACATGCAAGGACTGGTAAGCTGCAATAGATGACTATTCTCTTTGAGTCTAGATATCTTTTAAGGGTGTTTTGCAGCATTTATGTGTCAGGATTTCCTGAAATGAATGAATGTCTGTGTCCCTGTATCACTTTCCTGTCCTTTCTCATCTGCAGACTCTCCTAGCAGCACCATGGCTATAGCACTTGGGAGGATCTCCTCGTCCTACAGGAGCCACCTATGGAGGTCCCTGCTGGGCTGTCCTGAAGCCTGGCACAAGATTAATTGTTCAGTTCTATTGATGAAGGAATCCGCCATTCACACCTCCTCCTTGGCTTTTGCTGGGCACAATAAGTGGTCCAAAGTCAGGCATATCAAAGGGCCGAAGGATGCCGCGAGGGCACGCATATTCTCTAAGCTGTCCATGATGATCAAAGTCGCTGTGAAAGGTAGGAGTTGGTGACAAATACTACAGTATATGTATGTATACAACCACTGTCTATCATGAATGCTGCTGCCAGACCCATCCACCTTACTAACCGTTCTGTATCTGCCACCCCTCTCTGCCAATCCCTCCACTGGCCTCCACTCAGTGTCCTCCACCCTTCCCTGCCCAATCCCTCCACTGGCCTCCACTCAGTGTCCTCCACCCCTCTCTGCCAATCTCTCCACTGGTCTCCACTCAGTGTCCTCCATCCCTCTCTGCCAATCCCTCCACTGGCCTCCACTCCACTGGCCTCCACTCAGTGTCCTCCACCCCTCTCTGCCAATCCCTCCACTCCTCCACTCAGTGTCCTCCACCCTCTCTGCCAATCCCTCCACTGGCCTCCACTCTCTGCCAGTGTCCTCCACCCCTCTCTGCCAATCCCTCCACTGGCCTCCACTCAGTGTCCTCCACCCCTCTCTGCCAATCCCTCCTGCCACTGGCCTCCACTCAGTGTCCTCCACCCCTCTCTGCCAATCCCTCCATTAACCTCCACTCAGTGTCCTCCACCCCTCTCTGCCAATCCCTCCATGGTCTCCACTCAGTGTCCTCCATCCCTCTCTGCCAATCCCTTCACTGGTCTCCACTCAGTGTGCTCTCCCACCCTCCACTCTCTGCCAATCCCTCCACTGGCCTCCACTCAGTGTTCTCCATCCCTCTCTGCCAATCCCTCCACTGGCTCCACTCAGTGTTCTCCAATCCCTCCACTGGCCTCCACTCAGTGTCCTCCATCCCTCTCTGCCAATCCCTCCACTGGCTTCCACTCAGTGTCCTCCATCCCTCTCTGCCAATCCCTCCACTGGCTTCCACTCAGTGTCCTCCATCCCTCTCTGCCAATCCCTCCACTGGTCTCCACTCAGTGTCCTCCATCCCTCTCTGCCAATCCCTCCACTGGTCTCCACTCAGTGTCCTCCACCCCTCTCTGCCAATCCCTCCACTGGTCTCCACTCAGTGTCCTCCACCCCTCTCTGCCAATCCCTCCACTGGTCCTCCATACTCAGTGTCCTCCATCCCTCTCTCTGCCAATCCCTCCACTGGCCTCCACTCAGTGTCCTCCATCCCTCTCTGCCAATCCCTCCACTGGTCTCCACTCAGTGTCCTCCACCCTCTCTGCCAATCCCTCCACTGGCCTCCACTCAGTGTCCTCCATCCCTCTCTGCCAATCCCTCCACTGGGCTCCACTCAGTGTCCTCCATCCCTCTCTGCCAATCCCTCCACTGGTCTCCACTCAGTGTCTTCCATCCCTCTCTGCCAATCCCTCCACTGGGCTCCACTCAGTGTCTTCCATCCCTCTCTGCCAATCCCCCCACTGGTCTCCATCCCTCTCTGCCAATCCCCCACTGGTCTCCACTCGGTGTCTTCCATCCCTCTCTGCCAATCCCTCCACTGGCCTCCACTCAGTGTCCTCCACCCCTCTCTGCCACTGCCTACATCCCTTCACTGGCTTCCAATTGCCCAACAGATAAAATTCAAAACACTAACACTGACGAATGAAGCCGTTCATAACACTGCCCCAAATTACATCACCGATCTTGTCTCCAAATATCACCCTAACCGTACTCTCTGCTCCTCACAAGACCTCCTGCTCCCTTGTCTCCTCTTCCCATGCTCATCTCCAGGGCTTCTCCCATCCTCTGAAACTCCCTACCCCAATCTATCAGACTCGCCTACTCTGCTCACTTTTAGGCGCACTCTGAAAACCCATCTCTTCAGGGAATTCTACCCCACCTCCAGCTAATACTGGAATCCTCTACTCTTCCTACCACTCCATCCCCCACAGTTATTACCTCTTGTACCACTAGCCCTTCCCTCCTAGATTGTAAGCTCCAAGGAGCAGGGCCCTCGAATCCCTCTTGTATTGAACTGTATTGTTACTGTACTGTCTCCCACCATATTGTACAGCACTGAGGAAACTGTTGGCGCTATATAAATCCTGTATAATAATAATAACTTGAGTACCAGTCTGTATATACCCCTTCATTACCAGGCCAGTTTTCAGTTTGCAGGGTTGTGATCGTTTGACTGACAATGACTCCATGCAGTAGTGTACATGAATTAATATTATATCTTTCTTTTTTTCTTTTCTTTTTTTGAGACAGAGCTACTTTTTGATGGCATTTAAATTAGATGAGTTCACACTAGGATCCAAGCCCCTGTGTTTGAGGCCACCATTAAGTTGTCACCTGTACAGGCCAATCCTCTGCATCTGGGGCTTTCCTCGCCCATCAGCCACATGTATACACATCCCTTAGAAACATACAGCTGTGTGGTGGGAATGCCCGACCTTATATGATTGGCCTGTACAGGTGACATCTTCCTGGTGAGCTCAAACACTCAGGTTTGATTCCTAATCTGAACCCATCCGAGCTCAACACTGGTTATCAAATACCACCCAAAGGAAAGGTCTATCTCAAGAAAAGATATTAAATTAATTAGGGTTGCATGACAAAGTAATTGTCACTCAAATGCTCACTAGGTGGAACACAGCCACACTCGTTGATGAGCACTGGGTTTTACTATAATATATAAATATAGACTTTTACTTTCCCTTATAAAATGTTTCAAATAAAAAGTCTTTATAAATTTAGGCAAGTATATATTCAGCTACATTTCTAAAAGGAAAAAAACAAATGGTAGAAAGCTTTAGTGTCACTAGTGGGGTTAAAGCTGCAATCTGGGATGAACAAAAATTGTGTAAGAGACGTGTATTCGTTCTTCAATCTTGGTGTGCTTTATGTATTTCTTCTAGACCTTGGCAGTAATTTGGTATGTTTCCCCTGTACAGGAGTCACTGCTGCTCTCCCTGCTTGTGCAGGGTGACTGGCCTTGTACAGGCTATGGCCAGCCCAATGATGTCACTGCTAATATTACCAGGTAATATCTGGGACTGCAAAGTAGTTTGCTGATTAGAGAGAGGATTTAAATCCTTTGTGGCAATTGAGGAATATAATTAAATGAAAGTTTTTGTGCCCAGAGTTCAGCTTTAACTGAATTATATAATTGTGTAAATGAATGTCATATGTTCAGTACTGGGAAAGGGTAAGGATCTCTACCTGCTGTCTGTCTGCCTCACTTCCTATTCTGTCCCTAGCCAGGAAATGTTGGAAAATCTCCCTAGTTGAGACACAGGCAGTAATAAAAGCCTCTTAGAGGTCTCCTTCCCCACTCCATCCAAAACTTGAAAAACATGGTGTTCCAGTTGAAATTGATCCTCGTGATTAAAATGAGTGTTTGTTCTTTGCAGAAGGAGGACCTAACCCTGAGCTAAATCCACACCTGTACAACCTCGTGGAGCAGTGCCGGCAAAGGAATATACCCAAGACTTCCATCGAGGTTGCTATCAAAGGAGCTGTAAGTTGGTTTTATCTCACTGAGTTTCTCTGAATCTAACTTAGAACTGTTGAATCTTTATGACGATTCAGAAGTGCTACAAAACCAAAGATTCATAAGTCTTTCCACATCACCCATTGTAAATCACTTTTGTAACAGGTGTTGTGTTCATCCCTGTGCCAGCAGTCCTATTATTGTCTATTGAGACATAGCAGATGTGTCCCAATATGACATCCATGTGGGTGCAGGTCCTCAAACGCACTCTGTGTACGTTGGAGGACCCGCACACACCCACACGGATGTCATATTGGGACACAGCGGCTGTGTCCATGCATCTGCTGTGTCCTATGTGTTACCATGGGCCTCTTGGCTTATTCTCTAGTAATGCTGTTACTGCCCGGCCTGTCAGTTTAGGTGGACGGCCATGTCTGGGTAAGTTTGCAGTTGTACCATACTCTTTCCATTTTTGGATGATGGATGGTTCTCCATGAGATGTTCAAAGCTTGGGATATTTTTTATAATCTAACCCTGCTTTAAACTTCTCCACAACTTTATCCCTGTCCTGTCTACTGTGTTCCTTGGCCTTCATGATGATGTTTGTTTACAGAACAGCTGTATTTATACTGAGATTAAATTACACACAGGTGGACTCTATTTAACCCCTTCACGCCGGCACCTCCCGGTCCTTTAAGAGTTTCAGTAGGCGGGGCGGGGCGGGGTTTAGGGATCATGTGACCACTGTGATGCGTCGTCATGGCGGTCACATGATCGGGAAAGGTCGCGATTGAAAGAGGAGACCGGGACCTTTCCGTGAGTACTGGACATGTGTGCTGGAATTGCTCAGGGCACGTGCACATATGTTTTTTTTTTTTTAATAGAACACAAATGTGCGGCCGCCGCTCGGCGTCAAGGCCCAGACGCCGGAAGGCCGCACATTTGTGTGCGGCTGGCGTGAAGAGGTTAATAGGTGACTTCTGAAGGCAATTGTTTCCTCTAGATTTTAGTTAGGGGTATCAGAGTAAAGAAGACTGAATACAAATGCACACCACACTTTTCAGATATTTATTTGTAAATAATTTTGAAAACCATTTATGATTTTCCTTCCACTTCACAATTATGTGCCACTTTGTGTTGGTCTATCAGATAAAATCCCAATAAAATACATTTACGCTTTTCGCTGTAACATGACACAATGTGGAACAGTTCAAGGGGTATGAATACTTTTTCAAGGCACTGTATATATAAAACTTCTCTCCCTTATTTGTGTTGTGTAAGTGTGTAGGCTCTAACACTTACACAACAGAACTTCTTTTTAAAAATAAAATCTGATTTAAAAAAAAAAAAAGATAATTCCATTGGGTTTTTCTCTGCGTGGTTTTGACTTATGTTGCTTATCTGTTTTCAGGATAAGTCTAAGCCAGCCTCCTATGCACTGTTTCAAGCAAGAGGGCCTGGAGGAGCTTCCCTACTCATTGAACTACTGACTGACAACACCAATCGTTCCTTTGCAGATGTGAAACTCATACTGAACAAAAATGGGTAGGTGAGCTGAGGCATATTGAACATCTAATTGGTTGTGTCTGGATGATCAGAAGTGATCCTGTTGTAGTTGTAATCTAGCTAGGACTGGCTTATATCTGATAGAGCATTTCATCCACCAAAAGCAAACTTGTGCTTTGTCCAGTGTGATCACCTGAGTACTGGTTCCCCAACAGTGCATACTTCTCTTTTAATCCCTCCTCTTCGTTCAGCGAAGCAAAGAAAGTACTTCAGGTACTGAGGAGCTTGGGGCAGAACTCTTTACATTAAAAAAAAAATGTAAAAGAAAAAATGTGCTTTGTATGTAGAGCAATGACAGGAGGTAACTTAAATCTGAGGGTGTAAATGCACTTTAATTGTTGATAAATGTTGAATATATTTGGTTCGTATATCCTGTATTCACGTAACATGACTGTTCACATCAGCCCCTGTCCCAATGTAAAATACATACACATTCTTAAAACAATCAAGGGCTGGCATATGTTCTCTGGTCTCCACATTGATGGTATCCTAGGTGGGAACTCAAAATTCTGCTACAACAATTCCCTATACAACCATACATTTATTGCTTAATAAAGGAATTGAGTTGCTTTTTTTTTTTTTTTCCCCCATCACTTTTCTACAAAAACATGTTTTTATCATAATGCATGTCCTATTCCGAGAGATTTTCCCATCACTTTCCGGTCCCTGTCACAGGAAATAAGAGGAAATCTCCACCAATGTAAAATACGCTTTCAATGTAAAATACATACCGCACTCTTAAAATAATCAAGGGCTAGCGTATGTTCTCTGGTCTCCGTATTGATGGTATTCCAGGTGGAAACTCATAATTCTGCTACAATTCTTTATACAACTATACATTTATGGCATAAAAAAAGGAATTACGTTGCTTTTTTTTTCCCCCTCACTCTTCTACAAAAACATGTTTTTATCATAATGCATGTCGCATTCCAAGAGATTTTCCCCTCACTTTCCTGTCCCTGACACAGGAAATAGGAGAAATCTCCACCAATGTAAAACACGCTTCCAATGTAAAATACATACCACACTCTTAAAATAATCAAGGGCTGGCATAGATTCTCTGGTCTCCATATTGATGGTATCCCAGGTGAAAACTCATAATTCTGCTACAATTCTTTATACAACTATACATTTAGGGCTTAAAAAAAGGAATTGCGTTGCTTTTTTCCCCCCCATCACTCTTCTACAGAAAAGTGGTTTTATCATAATGCATGTCCCATTCCGAGAGATTTTCCCCTCACTTTCCTGTCCCTGTCACAGAAAATAAGAGGAAATCTCCTCACCAACCTAAAGAGAAACAGAAGTAGAAGTTTGAAGTTCCAACCCTTCACACTATCCAAAAACAGAGATGTCTTGGCTGGACCGTCGTGTCAAAGTGGTCAGTGTTACATTTCAGTTTTAAGTCTTTACTTTGTAATCTACAGAGGAACCGCTACAGATGGAGCACGACATTGCTTTACTAAGAAGGGAGTGGTAACCGTACAGACATATGACAAGGATGGCAGTCCTGTGCCCTTGGAGCAGGCATTGGAATTTGCCATACAGGCTGGAGCAGAGGATGTACAGGAATCGCAGGATGAGGAGGACAAGGATGTGTACAAGGTAAGGAGGGTGGAAATCTGGATTTAAAGAATAGCGGTACTCATGGTTTAGGACAAATATCTGTCACCCATAAACAACTCAGTAAAATAGCACCATGAATATGCCAAGCAGCATATATCAGGTCATCCAATTGTGTGGTGGTGTAAGCATCTCCCAGTGCAAAGTGCCTCTACCCTTAAAATCCAGGGTGAAGTGACTAGCCATGTCATTGTTGCTATGCATTCTGGCCTCCTTATTGCCCAGTCAGGACACCCATCACACTCTATGAAGAAGACTGAGGTGAGAAGAGCCAGAATGAGCAGACTGTACATTCACTGCCACTTTTTTAGAATACTGCAGGTGACCTATGACAATAATACATTTTATCGAATGGGGTGTAGTCTGAATAAAACCGCAAAGAGGAAAGAAAAGTATTTGACTATAATTTAGGGAATGAGAAACGAACAGATTTGGGCTGATGTACTAAAGGAGTTGAGGATTTTCATCCAATAAATTTTAGCGGCGTTCATATTCAATACCCAGTAATGTGCAGATGAAACAAATGGGAATTTGATTTTTTCCTTTTTTTTGTTCATTAAAGCGGAGTTCCACTCACACTGTCAAAAAATAAAAGTCAGCAGCTACAAAAACTGTAGCTGCTGACTTTTAAAAAAACAGCCACTTACCTGTCCCTCTGTCCTGTGGTGTGTCCCCCGCAGCCCGTTTCACCGACCGTCCTGTATTCCAGGAGGCCAGCATCTTCACTGTGGGCAGCCGGCTGTGATAGCTTGCGGCTTCACAGCTGGGTGCCCACTGCGCATGCGCGAGTAGCGCTGCACTTCATGAATGGTCCTGTAGTCTTCTGGGACCTGTCATGTGTCCCAAAAGACTACAGAGAGGGAGGACACTTTCCGCTTCCGATCGCCTAGGTGATCGGACCGGAAGTGGGAGTGGGTACCTGTCAAATTTGGGTTTTTCCCCTAAGGACCGGTTCGTGGTGATGTAGGTCGCGGGTTTTATTATTTCTATCCCAAGGGATGCATGCATTTCTTGTAATAAGAATAAAAGTGATTAAACTTTTTTTTAAATTAACGGTGCAAAAAAAAAAAAAAAATTAAATTTTTTTTAAACTTTAAAGTGCCCCTGTCCCCCCGTGCACGTACATAGTGGTGAACGCATACGTAGGCCATGCCCACATATCTAAATGGTGTTCAAACCACACACATGAGGTATCGCCACGAACGTCGGAGCAAGAGCAATAATTCACACACTTGAACTCCAATGTAACTTTACACTGCTAACCTGTAGAAATTTTTAAAGCATCACCCATGTAGATTTTTCATACCGCAGTTTCCCACCATTCCACCAGTGTGCGCAATTTTAAAGCGTGACATGTTGGGGTATCTATTTACTCACCGTAACAGTCTCTCATATTTTACAAAAAAAATGTTTTTTCTTAAAAATGCGCATTTCGGTTTCCAGACAAATGCATTTTGAATTTTCGGTTTCGGCACCAGAATTTCCATTTCAGTGCACCACTAGTAAGCAGTCCTCAGTTCTCTTGTACCTTTTTCTAGGGCTTGTTAGTGTGCGTTTGCTGTGTTGATTATGACAGCTTTGCACATCCTGAGTCCTACTTATGTGTGTTTCATCAAACTCTTGGTAATGCTTTGCTACAAAACTGAGACATGCTGGTGGTGGGTGGGTTATCCTGGGGTTGCGTTTTTTTTTTTTTTTGTTTTTGTTTTTTGCCAGTATCCAGTCCTGTAGACAACACTATAACAAAAAGGTTTAAGACTTTCCATGCCCACCAGTGGACTCAAAGCAAAGGGTCTTATGGGGAGTACAAATATCCTATTATATGTAATTGGATAATATTAGTGAATGTTTGCTCAGTTTATTCTTGAACTTGCATTTACAAGCTTCTGATAGCTTCACCTTTCCTGTCTCAACATGACTTATTTTTCAGTACATCTGTGAAGTCCCCGCCTTGCGAGAAGTCCGCTCACAGCTGCTCACGTTGGGAATGGTGCCGATCTCCTCCGCCCCTGAGTATTTGCCTATCATCACTGTACAACCATCAGACTCTGACAAGGAGAAGCTCTTTCACCTCCTGGAACTGATCAACAACCAAGCAGAGGTCTTACGGATTTACGACAATATTGAATAGCAGTACATCCCGCGTGACCCATGCTGCAAATCAGTGAAGATTCTAATACGAAGGAGTTTGCCAAAACGTATGAGGTGACTCTGCTCCTGGTGTATTAGAGATGTGCCTGATGTGTAGGAAGGTTGCATTTTACACAAGATGTGTTCTAAAGGGAAGCCTGTAGTGAAAAAAAAACTTCAATCATTCTCCCTAGTGGAGCCCAGGACTACCCAAAAAAACACAGATTTTAACCTTTCCTTAATCTAATAAATATTCTCTTCCCCCACCAGAAAAAAAAAAAAATTGAATAGAACTTTTCTTCCACAAGTAGAGTATATGTACTGTCTTTTTTTTTTTTTCCAAACATAATTTTATTGGAAAAGTTAAGGCAGATCAATGTACATACAAATATGGGTTACAGTCCAAACAGACACAATATGCAGCATCCCGTTTCACAGACAGGCTATGGGTTTGAATTGTAGTACAAATCGAGATGAGGTATAACTTTATATCAGAGGTGTATAGCAAACCAGCAGATACAAAGAGTGTAATAGTACTGTGTCTTTTTAACATAAACAGTATTTTAAAATTTAATTTATATAAATTTCCCTTTGCTATTTGATCAAAAAATCCCTTTTCATTGTAATCTGGTATAAGAGTACCTATACATACTATTTTGCATGCCCCAGGGACCCCAAAGTAAAGGCGCATACTGTATTTATATTGGCCAACTCCTGGGTGCTCGAACCCCTCACATCCCCTAGGTTTGTTTACAGTTCCTTGGTTATTTTAACAGGTATTTCTGCATGACAGCACGATCTACTTGCTCTTAGGGAAAGGGATTGCTAATCTAAAAGATCAAGATCGTCATACAGCTTGTGCCCAGTTTTGGGGGTTCCTGGGGTGCACAAAAGGAGAAGTCGTAGAAAATAAAGTCATCGTGTAGCCACTTAAAAAAACTGGGGCAATAGTCTGTTGGGTTTTTTTTTTTTTTTTTTTTTTTTTAAATAACTCCCTCCGGAAAAGGAGACAGTCCTTTTTCAAAATGCTAGTTTTGAGGCACTGATAAGTGACTAAGCTTTACAGTGTCTAAAAACATTAATGCTGGAGGAAACGTTAGTAAGGGGGCCATTTTGCCCATTGATAAACTGCCCCCCCCCCCCATCCTTCAACTACTAATCTGCAACAATAGACAACAAAATTTTCATTAAAAGTCTAAAACAATATAAATGTGTCACTCTTTTCATTCTGCTTAAGTGGTTCTAAAGCGTAAACATTTTTTAGCTTTATGCATTCTCTGCATTAAGGTAAAAACAAACTTGTCCTGTCCCATCGTCAAACAGGAAGTGTGAGAAAATCCCTGCAATTTAAAGGAATCTTTTGGGGACCCCCAGGTCACCAGAACAAAATGTCCTCATTGGAAGATTTCCCCTCTATTACTTTTCTGGGGAAAACCCAAAATGTGGGATTTTCTTTTACTTTCAATGATAATGGTAACAGGAGAGATAGAGAGGGTGACTCTCTTAACAACAGGAGTAAAATCTGACAGGTGTTCTAATCCCTCGCCCCTCTATCCAAAACGAAAACCAAACCTCTCCTCTGCTGCAGCTGTTTATATGAAGCTGTGACCTTAAAGCGGAGTTCCACCTAAAAAAAAAAAAAAGTCAGCAGCTACAAAAACTGTAACTGCTGACTTTTAAAATACAGACACTTACCTGTCCCACGATCCAGCGGTGTCCTCACCATGGCTGGTTTCACCAGCTGTCTTCTCTCCCTGGTGTCGGCATCTTCAGTTTGGGAACCCGGCTGTGACAGCTTGCAGCTTCACAGCCGGATGCCCATTGCGCATGCGTGAGAAGCGCTGCGCTTTGTGAATGGCCCCGTAGTCTTCTGGGACCTGTCACATGTCCCAGTAGACTACGGGGAGGGAGGGGAAGAGGACAACTTCCGCTTCCGATCGCCTAGGTCAGTGGTGGGCAACCTTTTTTTTCAACTGAGCCAAATCTCGCCAAAACCACGATTGAAATTTATTTTGAGAGGAACATTTTTAAAACTGAAAATACATCCCCCATATAGTAATTCATCCCCCATATAGTAATTCATCCCCCATATAGTAATTCATCCCCCATATAGTAATTCATCCCCCCCATATAGTAATTCATCCCCCCTATAGTAATTCATCCCCCCTATAGTAATTCATTCCCCCCCTTATTGTGTCAATTCACTTACCTTTGCTCCGCGCGTTCCTCTCGCCGTGTTCCCGCGCCGTTCGGTCTTCAGGGCGGACTGTGAGAGGAGAGGAGTTCGTCACGCTGCCCCGCCTACATCCTGGCTGCCCCGCCTACATCCTGACAGCCAATGTTTGCCACGCTCCGCGGGCCGTAGTTTGCCCATTGCTGCGCTAGCTGCAGAGTCCTGACTTTTGGGGCGGCCGCCCGAGAGGAGGGAGGGGAGCGGGCGCCCGGCACACAGAAGAGCCGCATTAAAATGTGTAAAGAGCCGCATGTGGCTCGCGAGCCGCGGCTTGCCGACCACTGACCTAGGTGATTGCAGTGTGAGCGGGTACCTGTCAAATTCGGGTACCCACTTCCCAAAGGTGCCAATCCTTAATGGGGAGTAGGGGACAAAGGCTTAAAACGGAACTTCCCCTTTTGGGTGGAGCTCAGCTTTAAGTCTAGTACACAATACTATTTTTTTTTTTTTTTTTTTTTTTTTTTTTTTTTTCAACCCAGCGGGCTGAACGAAAAAAAAACTGACAGCTTAGGAGTCGTTGCTGTACTAACTACCCAATGTTAGTAGAGCGATCTTTCCTACTGTGCTATTGTGTTCTCACAGGGGATGCCCCCCCGCCAGATCACTCCGGTCAGCGCTGATCAGGAGCCGATCGGCAGACATTTTTTCAGTCATGCCCCTTTAACAGAAGGCGGTCGAACTGGCTGCCGTACACACAGAACGAATGTCAGCCAGTTTCTTTTGAACCGGCCGATTCCGCCTGACATTCTGCTGTACTAGGCTTTATACCCAATAATGCAAAATGAATATTTGAATTAAAATCGTGCATAAAAACAAAACATTTATGAAGGGAAAAACCTTTAAGCAAAAAAGATGAACCTGAAGATATCCCTTCTAGTGGATGCAAATAAAAATTTTAAAAAAATGTGTTGCGCTAAACAGAAAACAAAGTGCAAAAATATACATTAAATATATAATAGACAAAAAAATTGAAGTGAAAAGTTGAATTGGAATAAAAAAAGGTCAATAAACAGCATCATCCAAAGATGTGCAGGAACGTAAAATCAAATCATACCTTTTCAAAAAAAAAAAAATCTTGTATATAATGTTCCATCGAGAACCAATGTACACCCAAGGTGGTAATAGAGTGGTTTCTTACCCACTTCCCATGACCCCCTTACACTTACTATATCTCCTGCCTGTGCATCGTGTTAGCGTGCTTTAAAAGCGATGCAGGTGTGAACCCAGCTGTGAAAAGTGGCTGAAGTCCATTAACGGATTTTATTCCCCATACTATATTTTTTTTTAATATACAATAATGGGAATGTATCAAAACTGGAGCAACTGTGCACTGCGCCAATCAGCTTCTTGCAGTGGAACTAAACCCTCGCCAAGGAAGCTGCCATCTTGGCCTCTGTTTGATTTGCAACAACCATGGCACTGAACATGTGATCAGTTATGCCAGCCATTTGGTGACCTGACGGTTGAGTTAAGAGCACAAGCAGCTGTGACAGTTATCGATCACAGCATGCCTTGAATGGAACTGTTTTTAGAAGCAGTAAAATCGTTGAGTTTGGCTCCAACTGAACAAGCTGAAGCTCATAGCTTATTGGTTCTTCTGCGCAGCTGCTCTAGATTCTGCCTGTTCCAGTTTATTAGTAATCCTGGCATATTCAACGCTTTGGACATCTTTTTATGTCCTTTTCCATCTTTATAGCGTTCCATTACCTTGTTACGTAGAACTTTTCTGCTCCCCATGGCTCAGTATCTAGCCTAGTCAGTGCTTCCATGTCAGAGCTAACAAACTAATTGACTATTTATACACTGACACTAAATGCAATGCCTATGGCCAGATGGAGGCTGGCAAAACACCTTGTCTCTACGGGTGGCCGCCATATGGCGTCCTTTCAGGCATGCGCAGTTTGCATGCTCGCAGAGCTGCGCAGCGGCGTGATCTGTCACCGGCCGTGTACCTCAGACACGACAGATTGAGTACCCCCATTGGGTACCATGTGACCTGCTGTGACCAATCACAGCAGGTCACATGACAGTTGTATACAATGGATGGCTTCCTGTCATGCCATCCATTGTATACAAGTGTGGCTAGCTGTGAATGGTCACAGCGATCACATGCACAAGCTGGGCCAATCACAGCCCAACTGTGTTAAGAAAAAAAACAATCCTGAATGAATCTATGTCATTCAGGTAAATGCTTGCTTATAGCAAAGTAATTATTTGCTATAAGCAAATTGTGTAAAAAAAAAAAAATATATATATATATATATGTATGTATGTGTATATATATATATATATATATATATATATATATATATAGATCACTTCCCCAAAGTAGTACAATGTTACTATGATAACATTATACTACTTTGGTCATAGTGAAATATGAAAAACAAATCTTAAAAAAATGTAATAAAAAATAATAAAAAAAGTTATTTTTTTTTCGTACTGTCACCAGTCAGTGTCCCTGATCACCGCCATGCCAGTTATATGATGGTGCTGTACTGCACTGGCGACAGTATGTAAAAAAAAAAAAAAAATAGTGCAAATCCTTTTTTTTACTTCATTTCCAAAATTATGACAAAAAAACTTCAAAAAACTCGCCATGCCTCTTATGAAATACGTTGGTCTGTCTACTTTGCAAAAAGGGGGTCATTTGGGGAATATCTGTACTGTTCTGACATTCTTGGACCTCAAGAAATTAGATTGGCCGTCAGTACTTCAGGATTGATCAATTTTCAGATATATCCCATAATTTGTGAACTCTATAACTT